AGAGGGACGCTTTCGCATGTGTCCCGCCCGGGGGTCCCTGAGTCTCTGGTTCCCCACAGTCTGCCTCTGACGTGATGGAGAGGGACGCTTTCGCATGTGTCCCGCCCGGGGGTCCCTGAGTCTCTGGTTCCGCGGCTGCGCTTCTCTTTCACCACGTTCAGGACAGGGCTTCATTTCTTCAGGGTTTTGTGCACCGTTTTCTCTCCCTCCTCCGTCGGCTCCATTTTCTCACTGTTGTCACTGAAAGTCTGTCTGTCTGTCTGTCTGTCTGTCTGTCTGTTTCCTCCCAGTGCTTCGGTTCAGATCTTGTTCCCATTTTGCTGACCCCTTCTTTCTTCTATGTATCAATCTGTTCATTTCAATGGAAATGTTTTGTGAGGTACTGTACTTTTCATTTTATAATTCCCACTTGAACATTTTTAAAAGACCGACTCTCGATAGGTAGCCCAGGCTGATTGGAAACTCTGTATAGCCCAGGCTGGCCTCGAACTCATAGAGATCCTCCTGCCTCTGCTTCTCCAGTACTGGTATTAAAGACGTGCACCACCATGACCAGCTAGATTTAAAACAAACAAACAAAAATCCCCCCCAAAAAACTAGAGGATAATTTTATTGGAACTTGAGAGAAAAAAAAAAAAAACCAGGACAGGAAAGCTGGAGATCATGGCAGCTGCCGAGAGGAGATGGAAGAGTTAAAAATGAGAGAAAGTTGTGCTCTTTGAAGCAGAGGTCAAGAAATCAGAAGTCAGTGAGCAGCTGGGTGGCAGGAGGTGGGCACACCCTGAGGGTCAAGACCAGAGGAGTTTGGTTGGTCTCCAGAAAAGGGGGGTCACATTTGCTGCACTAGAACCCAGATAGCCTCAGCACTGCAGGTCTGTCAGTGACGGCCTGGAGGGAGTGACAGTGACTGCCCTGGGAGAGGGCCTGTCACACTGCTTTTATCTTCCTTCTGGTTTCGGGGCATCCTCCTGAGCACTTTCATGCTGCATTTTCTCCTTATCACAAGAGCTCTCTGGCTTTGCTTCCACTGTTGACATCAAAAGGTATCATCAGCCATTGCCCAGGTCATGTGTAAGGGGCTTTCTGACCGCCATCCATGGTATGTGTCATGTCTGTGTTCATGTGTCTCCAGAACTGGGGAGTACCAGAGAGTACCTGTTTTGACCTTCATTTCCTGATTTTCTTATACATACATTTTCTTATGTATGTTTGGAATAGCCATTTTCTTTTTAAAAAA